AAAAAGGGTTAAGGGCAAAAGAGTAAATGGGGGGAGGGGGGCGGTGACTAGTAAAAGGGGGGCGGTGAATAGCAATTGAGAAAATAAATGAGGATGTTTGAGATTAAAAACTGAATCGAAAAATTGGAAGAAAAATTGTCACGAGCAGAAAGAAAAACAAAAAGTACAAAAAAGGAGACGGTTGTATAGTTATTTTGGTGAAGGATAGAGGGCAAAATTATAATTGCATTTTATATCCTATAATTATCATAGAAAACAAACAATGAAATTCTATTTCAATCTAAACTACAACACGAATAACAAATGTAAATAGGATGTTACTATTCACCGCCCCCTATTACTAAGTATCGCCCCTCTCCCCCTTCGGAACCATTTTGCCTCTGTCATTTTTTTCAAAAAAACTCAGAAAATCGTAAATTCTCTGAAACTAGGCGATTTTATGTGAGAAAGTGTCCGTCAACAAGGTGCGTTTTTTGGCCGGCCAATCGACGAAACCGGCCAGACCGCCGCCGGCCAACCGACTATTGCGGCCACGCTCGGTCGCGGCCGGTTGGCTAGGTAGGCCATAGCCATTGGCGGCCGCAATCGTCGGTTGATCGGCGGTGGTCTGGCCGGTTTCGCCAGACGACCGACCAAGTGTTTTTTTTTTTTTTTAATTAGTTAATTTTATTTATGGAAAAAAAATATGTAGTAGAAATTATTATGTTATAAGTTAGAATTGGTTATCTTATAAATTAGAATTTATTATTATTATGTTAGAACTTGAAAATTATTATGTTATAAGTTAGAATTGATTATCTTATAAATTAGACTTTATTATTATGTTAGAACTTGGAAATTATTATGTTACAAGTTAGAGTTTATTATTATTATAAATTAGAATTTAATATTATTATGTTAGAACTTAGAAATTATTTTGTGAGAAATTAGAATTAATTATCTTGTAAAATTATTAACATCGTAATATATTGCAGGTGTCATTTGAAGATTTTGGAGGAGATGGCATTTATTACAGTTCTGCTTTCAATATGGAGGACGTAGTCGGCAGTGATGAAGAAGCTAGAACTTAGAAATTATTTTGTGAGAAATTAGAATTGATTATCTTGTAAAATTATTAACATCGTAATATATTGCAGGTGTCATTCGAAGATTTTGGAGGAGATGGCATTTATTACAGTTCTGCTTTCATTACAGAGGACGTATTCGGCAGTGATGAAGAAGCTATTACATGGGCAAAAGAAATGGCAATTATATATGGTTTTGAATTGGTCATTTTTTCACACAAAAAATATGGTAGGATAATGGTGTTGAGGTGTTCACGAGGTGAACGTTATAGAGGCAGTATAGGAGATTTAGATCAATCTACTACCAGACGTTCAAGGACTAAAGCGTGCAAATGCCCGTTTCGGATAATAGTTCAACAGGTGGCACAGTCTACAACTTGGAAGATCCGTGTAAGTAATGATGGTGGTAGGGGAATGCATGATCATGCATTGGCTGTATATCCTGAGGGTCATCGACAGATGAGTGGACTTAGCGCTTCATCTAAAGATATTGTCCATGATATGATTGTTGCTCAAGCAAAATCGACAGTAATTTTGGCTGCTATCCAGAAAAAAAAAAACCTAGTAGACAACGCTACTCGGCGACATGTGTATAACTATAGAGATAAATTGCGAAGAGATAGTTTCGAGGGTAGAGGTGTGACTACCCAAATTCTGCATTTGGCTTTGGAGAGCAATTATATAGTTTATACAAATGTTGATAAGAAGACACATGTGTTGACTCATCTGTTCATGTTGCATCCTCAAGCAGTTAGTCTATTCTGGACATATTACTGGTCGGTATAGAGTTGACGTACAAAATCAACAGGTATGTTACTTTATAAATAACAAATTAATATGAATCTTAATTAGTATGTTTGAGTAAGTTTTTGATCCTATGTTTCATTTTGTTGCTCTCATTTGCACAGGTAGCAGATGCCGTTAGTGGAAATTGTTGGTATGATGCCGTGCGACAAGAACTTCTTAATTGCATATGCAATTATCAAGGACGAGACCGAGTACATCTATGACTGGGTTCTGCAAATGTTGAGAAATCTGATAGGGCTTGATGTACATCCTACAGCCATTGTCACTGATAGGGAGTTGGGTATAATGGCCAACTTCCATAGTGTGACGGGAAGCTTTTTTTCTTAAAAAAAGTTGGGCTACAGGTTTGAAACTGAAAGATCATTGAATTTCTGGAACAAACCATTGAATTTTACTAGCCTTTTCTTTAGAAAAGATAAAGAAAGAGCTAAGCTAGAATTCATCGAATTGCATGTGTTAAACATGACGTTTAATTCCGAAAGACAGTCTTGTCTCGGGATAAACTCTATCCGCCGCAAGCCAAACCACGCACACCTCCGTTACTCTTTAGGAGGCATTCGCCCCAGATAAACTACCCACCTCGCAGTGTCCATGCTAGGACTAATGCAGATCCGGTCTAGGCTTGAATGACTCCTATTTGGAGGAATTTTTCAGAATCTGCCCACTTACTTTGCACGTGGCACATCAACAAGGATGTGAAAGACACAGTCTATCGACTCTTTGGAAAAAATAAGGACTTCGCTCAGGAGTTCACGCACGGCAGGTGGAAAAAGATTGTCGAAGCGGGTACGGAGAATCAATACAACACTGCTGTAGGTGAACTGTATGGTCGGTACGGGAGGTTTTGGAAATTGTTACAATATGTAGAGCACACATGGTTAGTCCACAAAGAAAAGTTTGTCATAGCGTGGACGAATTCGATAACTCATTTTTGTAACACAACTCGTGTAGGGTAGAGAGTGCCCACGCTGTGTTGAAGCAGTGTCTTAACACGTCGACCGGTTCACTCGATACAGTGTGGGAGAAGGTTGATAAGGAAATTG